CTCTAACTAGTGTTCCTCAAAGTGCGGTTCTTTCTCCATTCTGTTTTCCTTCTTCTTACATGACTCTGTCTATTCTGATCAACACAGTTATGTCATGTATGCCGATGATTTGACAGTGTTTACGCATGTCGCTTCTCAGTCAGGCTGTTCCAAAATGAATAACCTTCTATCAGAAATTAGTCGATGGTCCTTGTTAAATAGTTTTAAGCCTAACCCCTCCAAATATCAGGTGGTTAATTTCACTTTAAGACAAGCAAGCGCGACTTGTGTGAACTGGTTAGTTTGCATGGTTCCACGGTTCATAGATGGCACTGAAGCCGAAACCAAATCGAATGCTAAATACTTTGGACTTTGTATCTCCTTTGAACACTTCTCCTGATCTTTCCACCGATCGTCTTAGTTTTCAGAAAGACATTTCTTTGGCATTCTATGAAAGGAGGTTTAAACGCCGTGGAATCATTCCATTTTCACTGTCACCGTTTGTTAGTTCTTGTATTCTGCCTATAATACTTTACTGTTTCCCTACCTTGACCTACTCTAGGCTACTTCAGAAAGACCTTGTTATACTGCGTAGGGCATGAAAAGTTGTAAGTAGGTCGATTGGGACGTTGATTAATTAACTCGTTAATACTACTGTAGATAGACATTCGGATTACTGCAAGAAATTAACCAGTATTATCCTGTCAGCCCGTGAACATGCTCCCTGTAAACAACTCTCACTTTCCATCTCAATCAGCAACTACTGTAAACTGTATGTTCAAATGACTAAGCACAAGATCTCTACAATACGTTATTTGAAAGGCATACATTTTCTGTGGTGAGAAAAGTCTAAGACAGAAAATCACCAACTTCCTGAGGAACTCTAAGTAAACAGCCTTTTCTTTTTTTATCATTATTACATTGTCGCTAATATTTTCACTTCATTTAATTTTATACCCATTTCTTACTGAAAAACTTTATTAAAGTAAATGTTTTATCATAATTATTGCTCTTGTAATGAGAAAATTATATGCGCTAATGTATTACATGCTGAAAATTCCATATTTGTAATAAAAGTACTGTTTGGATCCAAGCGATTATTATGTTGTATACTAATTTTTACATGCAGGTGAAGAAACACATAGGCAGGATTATTTGAGTCTTGCATATCAGAGTGAGAAGAGATGTCATTTTGTGCTGGAAAAAATATCAGCCCTACAAACTTGATAAACACAGGGGACAGACTACAGTTTTATCCGTTGAAAAACCACTGTTGATGTGAATAATGAGATTGAAAACATTTATTTCCCGATATGAATTTAAAACAAGCAATAGAGGCATATAAAGCACGATTTAATGAATTCATTAAATTTCGGTAGAACTCGTCAGCTGCTGAATACTCTACATACATGGATATATATGCACACTCTTGAAATTACATAGGGAGATATAAGACTGATAAGTAAACAAACTACATTGAATGAGTCATGCAGAAAGATAACTAGTGCGAATGTTTTCCAGGTCATGTTCAAATAGATAAGGGGAGAGAGAGTATGAGAGATCAAAATTTAGATAAATTGCATTACGCTTCAGTTACATCACTTAGATAAACAATTAGTCATTATAGAATATAACAAGAATTGCAAACAGAGTAATATCAATAGTAATAGTTATAATAAAAATTTTAATAGTGTTGAAGTGAGTTAAGATAATTCTACTGATGAAGCATAGTTTTAAATGAATCAAGAATAATAATAATGATAATAATAATAATAACAATAAGAAGAAGAAGAGGTAGAATAATAGTAATAACAAGTAGAGAATAATAAGTAAAACGTATTACCATGGTAGATTCAGAGTGACGACCATCTCCTTCTGTACACAGAGACCTGGTTTATAAACTCGAATTGCACAAGCCTCCCTCGCAATCACAAGTATCTTCCTGTTTCTTTGTCTGCTGACGATGGTGAATGACTTGACGGCGTCGATATCATGTCCGTAGTCCACAAGATGTTTTGTTATGAGGATTTTGGCACTTTTAATGCAGTCAGCTGTTTTCAACCATTTTGGCTAATGCTCCATCATGCGAGTATACAATCGCCTTTCTGTACGACCTATGTATTTGCTTCCACAAACACACTCAAATTGATATATGCAGTTTGAAGTGTCCAGGATTGGCGACTGATATTTCCCAGATTGTTGAAGCACTCGCTTTGTGGTGTTAAGGATAACAAATTTTGCACCATAATAAGTTTTCTCGATGGTTTTATCAAGTCTTCGTTCGACTACTTCCTGTACATCATCTCCTTTGAATGGCAAAATGATATAGACAGATTTCTTCTGAACTGTTTGAATTGTTTTGCAGAGGGTAGTTTCTTCAGAGTATTTATTAATGAACTTCTCAGGAAATCCATTCTTAGATAAAATATACCTCGGAGATTTTATTTCATGCTGAATAGTACTGTCAGAACAGATTTTTCGTGCTCTATTGAACAGTTTTCTGACTAAGTTATTTTTATGCTGGATTAGAACAAAGTTCTTGAAATGCATGTACTCTCCTGTCCATGAAGACTTTCTAAATACAGATCTTTCGATTGTGCCATCATTCATTTTGGCTAGGAAAACGTCTAGGAATTTAATAGAATCGTTTTCCTCATGTTCTACTGTGAAATTGAGATTTCGATGGCATGAGTTGAATTTTATCAACATGTCTTCAGCTTATGATCTGCTTCGACAGACAATAAAAATGTCATCAACATATCTTAGGTATGCATCCGTTTCTTTTATATTGTTGCTGCAAGGTACTGGTTTCTAGGCCTGACAAGAATAAGTCTGTGAAAAGTGGTCCAAAAGGCTTCCCATTGCGACGCCATCAATTTGGCGGAATAGACGCCCATCCAATTGGAATTGGACATTTTTAGTACATAAAAGTAACAATTTCCTCAATTCTGACGTTGAAATGAGCATGTCTTCAGCTTCTTTACATATGAAGTCGATGGTCTCAACGACTGGCACATTTGTGAAGAGGCGAGGTACCACAGGAAGAGACCAGATGCTTATCAGATATACTGAAATCTTTAATTTCCTTGACAATTTGAAACCATATACGTTCCGAAACGTTTTCTCAAGGGCTGAAACAATTCAGATAGCCACTGTGGTCATTTGTGTTATGGTGAGTTTATCTCAGAGAGTGTAGGTCATACCGGCGCTCCTGGTTTGTGTATTTTAACGCGTCCGTATAATTTTGAAATTTGTGGTCCGTGGTTCGATACGTTGCCGACGTACTCCTTAACCTGACTAAGCCAGTAATAAGACTGATAAAGAGGGAGGTTTGGACCCAAGGCTAACAACCCCATTCCGTAAAAATAAACGCCACTGCTGTCAAAACTTCAAGCCACCAGCTTGAAGCCCTATGTTTCACTTGGAACGAAGAGGTATAATGAAAAAAATGAAACAGTATGCAAACAAGAAGCGGTTACTAAATACTAAAATAACCAGAAGCGATTGCGATCCAAAAAGTCAAACCCCTTGCCATGTGTTCGCGCAAAAACCATGGTAATCCTTATATGATGATACTACCAACAGAATTGTTCCATTTTTGTCTTCTATAGGATTTAGTCATTATGTTTTGGGAAGCCAATACTAAAATATATTCAAGAAATGTGAATACTACCAGAATTTCCTTATTCTACATTATCACTTGACAGTTTTTACCGCTTTCTAATTAAATTACGACATTTCATGAAATTGTGCCAAAAAATACAAAAAATACAAAAAAACGAAATGTAACAGAGTCGGTTGAAAATGCTACTGTCTGATTTTGATTGCATGCAAATTAACGCTCTACAAAAATGCACATGACAGGAAATAGACATGACAGATGCATTCATTCAACAACAAGAACAACAACAGAAAATATGTGAGAGACATTGACACAAATCTTGCTGTGATAGCCAAAGGGAAAAAGAAGGTAGACAGGGAAATGTATACACTCATACCTCTTTGAAGAATTTCATTCCTGTGTCAACACTGTCTTCATTTCCTCTGCCTACTACACTACTACTATTAGTCAATTCTTGTTTGACAGTTAGAAATACAGTATTTTAAAAATTTCATCTCAGTGGCACTTTTTGCATCTATCTGTCAAGACTATCAGTATTACCGACTGAGATACACATATATGTGATTAGAGAATAATAATAATAGTCTTGTGAATCAGAAATGTATGCCCTAGAATTTTAAAGTCTACTTCTCCTGTAATGTTAGTTGCAACAAGCTTTTATATTGACATTTCTTACAATGAAATTTCATCCTGTCTCCTTTTGCATATTAGACTGTGAGTGTGATAAATATTTGTTCTAATGGGATTTTTAGATACTATAAGTGAAGTTTTGAAAATGTTCCCACCACCTTCTATTATCTAACAGTAATTCGACAAGTCCACTGCGATGACGAGCCTTTTGTAGCTTATTGAGTTTGTTGCAAACAGATCAGAGCAGTTCAGTCGCAACCGATGACACTTTCTTCCTCGCTAATGACAGGTATGCGCCTGTGGTACAGTGGTCGAAAGCTCACTAACTACGTACGTTGTCCGGAGCATGATCCTCGGTCTACACAATCCTAAACCTCGCTCAGCTGATAGTAAGCCCAGTAAAGAGGGAAAATTACTAATGAGGCTGGTAACGTCATTGCATAAAAGAAGAATGGGTTGAATCAGATCGTAGTGTATGATGAATGGTCTACGAGATCGCCTTGTAACCAGAAGGTCCTTGGTTCGAACCCCCTTGTGTAAGTACTGATGAGGCGACTCACACTAGGACGAGGCAGCTGTCCAGTACTTTTAGCTCATGATAAAATCTTCCAACCAATCAAACGCAAAAACCCTACAAACCAATACTTGAAAAAAGTATGACTTTAAAAACCTCATGGTATGAAACCATATGCTTTACTCAGAACACAAAAGGGAAGTTATATATATATATATATATATATATGGTTAACTCAGCGCAATGAATACTTACTTGCAGTAATGTCCATCAATAGTGGATCGATAAACTCCTTTGGTGAGTAGATACATTTCAGCTGCCTGTACAACTAAATTGAATAAAATGAATTTAATGAAGTATGCTGGAAATTCATTTCATTGATTAAAGTTATTAAATCCCCAATAGGGAAAAACACTTAATAAGTTCTGCAGAAATATAAAAGAATCTAAATAAAATTTTTCCATCGAAGTAAATGGCTAGAGTGTCTGACTTGACCATGTGTTGACAGAATGATTACGATTTAGTGGGAGAGACTGACTGCAGCAACACTGGTTTCAAGTGCAACATAGGGATTCAATAATATACCTCTCTGTTCTCATGATCTATGTATTCTTACTTACCTGGCTCTGCAATTGTTCATAAGCTCATATCTCTTCTTCACATGATCTCCACTATGTCACTGCCGCACCCACATTCGAATCGGCTTCCACTTGATGGTATTTCTGGAGAACGAAATCTGTCAGCAAGCTCAGCATGCGTCGAATTTATCTTCATTTTCTTCTACACTTGTGTTTCCCTGTGAGTTTTCGATCAGTTGGTTGCCGTAATTCCTCATTGCTTATCCATTCTAACCATCTGATATTCAGTGTGAAGCGAAGGCAGCTGTAGATAAAAGTGTGCATTAGTCTATTGGAAAAGCTTCAAGTGACTCCTTCGCCACGTCTGTAACTCATATAGAAGAATTGACTTAACACAGGTGTTGAAAATCGAAAATTTCCTCTTTACACTGAATTAAGCAGATTTACACTGTGATTTCAGATTTCACATTAACGACCTTAGCTGGATTTGACACCCTCAATACTGACGCTTGTATCTGATAAGGTGCAATCTAGGTAATTAAAATAAGTGGCTACGTTCCAATTTCTTTGGTCGATAGTGAATGGTGATTGTTAGTTGTTGGTTGACAGGTTGGCTTAATTAAATCTGTCTTCTCAAGGCTCACTTGTAGTCCTCTACTCGCTACCTGCCTCTTCTGCCACTTTGTTGACTCTCATCTGTAGATCTTTGGGTTTGTATGACATTAAACATAAATCATCCTCGGCACCAAGATCTTCTACAGTCTTCTTATCGATTAAACACGTTCGTGCCTTCTTGCTCCTGACTCACGATCTTGAGCATTGGCTAGTATCATACAGTGAACAATATCATAGGTGATAGAAGTCAGCCTTGTCTTATTCTTGTCGTAAATTCAAAGGCTTTTCGAACGTTTCCGTTGTTGACCATTTGACCTGCATCATTTCCATAAGGCTTATAAATGAGGCTGACAAAGATATGGGGCATTGCACTTCGCAGTGTTGAAGCGGTTTCCAAATTACTTCGCTATCAGCGCTGACAAAGCCATTTTCAGGGTCGGGAAGTTGAGGTAGAGATTGAACTACAATTCTATGCTTTGTTCGGGCTAGTGGTATCCAGATTGCGAATTGGAGAGTCTACCAGCGTAGCTATGATGCCAAAATACAGTTGGGTTACTACTTCCCTGTAATCAACATATTTAATGCCTATATGTCATATGAATGAGTACTGCCCGTCTACTGTTATCCTAAGCATTCAGCTGAACTGTCTCCCAGCAATTCTAATTATACTGAATTTGAGGGAAAAAGAAGGTAGTCAGCAGTTTGAATACTGCGGTGAATCGCCCTGATTTCTAATAAAACTTCAACCATTACTTCTGAGAGGAATACACCAAATGACACTGGGGATTAACTTCTTTCTTGACAAACTTTGGAAACAAATATATCTTGAGGCATAGAATGATGATTTCAAAATTCATTGTATTTCAACTGGAGGTAGACAGCATTTACCATACAAACAAAATACTCTAAGAATTCGGCTGGAAGCTTGTTTTACGTTAAGATTTGAATCAAAAGTCTGTGAAATATGAAAGTGTTCCTTTCGACTGCATTTAAAAATTTCAGATTTCCTCATTTTAGATTCTCACAGTATTTTATCATTCAATTTAATGTTTATCCCTTCGCATGATTTCCCATTCTTTCGTCAAATAAATGCGGCACTTTTCTCTCTAAATTTTAACAGAAATTATCTACTCTCAACTTCTTAGTTGCCAGTTGAGTTAAATGAAGTTTTGAAGTTAAAAATGTCAAAGCGATCATCATAGCTGATAAATCCTTTGCTTCATTTTTCATTGATAAACGAATGCTGGCCAGGAAAATCATCTCTCTTGGTGGCCTTGGACGTGATTGGTTGTTCGTGTGTGTTTTCACACCTTCTAGGCAGCTACTTGTATTGGAACTGACTGTTTCTTTGACTTGAACTTTGACCCTTTGTGTGTGAAGTTTCTTTCTTATCGGTTGATAAATTTTGTCTATCTCAATGTGTCTATTGATTGATGATTCACTGGAATGCCAGGCTGGATTCTAAAAATTCTCCAGCATTCTTGTTGTTTCCTCTGTCTAAAATTTGAATGTTGTCCCAGTCGAAATGATGTCCGTGGTTGTCTGTGTGTAGTGTTATGAGGGGGTGGATATCATGTCTTTTGACGGTTAACTTATGTTCGTGGATACGAAGACGAAGGGGACGTCCACTTTGGCCAATGTAGTGTTTTTCGCAGTTGTTAGAATTTATTTTGTAGATGATGTTGGTTTTATCTTCTTTCGTTGTTGAGTCCTTTGGTTGACATAGAACAGAGTGAAGTAGTTTTGTTGGTTTGTGTACGACGTCAATTCCTAAAGGTTTGAAGAGTCTTGTAGTGATTTCTGAGATATCCTTTATACATGGTAAGGCGATTTTCTTTGTGCTTTCCTTGGGGGCTTTTGGTTTGATCGGTTGGCTTCGGAGTATTTGTCTTTTGATGAAATTCTGTGGATATCCATTCTTTTGGAAGACGTTCATGAGATAATTTTCTTCAATTTTCCTTGAGGTGGGAGTGCTACAATGAGTCCTTGCTCTCTTGAATAGTGTTTGTATGCAATTCCTTTTGTGTATTATTGGATTGTTGCTGTTGTAATTCAGTATTTGATCTGTGTGAGTTGATTTTCTATAAACTTGAGTTTCTAATTCCCCTGCGGTTGTTCGCTTGACTAAGACGTCGAAAATTAGGATTTGGCTCTCGGATTCCTCTTCTCTTGTGAATTTGGTGTCGTTGAAGACGTTGTTTATTAAGTTGTGAGTTTTATCTAACTCGTTTATTTTGATTATTACTAATGTATCATCGACGTAGCGTATCCAAATCTTGGGTTTGATCCTTGGTAGAATTATGTTTTCGAGTCTTTGCATCACTGCTTCTGCAATCAAACCTGATATTGGCGACCCCATGGGTGTTCCTTTGACTTGTTCATATATTTGACCGTTGAATTGGAAGTATGTTTTTAAGCATAAGTTTATGCATTCTATCCACCTTTGTGTTGCATTTTTGATTGTTTTGGAAGGAGTTCGTCGTTGCTGAGTAATTGCTTCATGGTTTCTTTTGCTAGTTTTTGTCCGATAGAGGTGTATAATGCTGTCACGTTGAAGGATACCATTATTTCTTGTTCATCTATTTGGATGCCTCTGATTTTCTGTAGGAATCGGACAGCAGAGTTGATGGAGTGATCACAAGATTCCGTTAGGTGTTTTAGTTTTCTGTATAATTCTATGGATAAATTATATGTTGCATATCTTCTCAACTCAATGTAAACAATTAAATTTGGATTTTCAAACGAATGTTGAGTTATTTCTTCTATAAGGATCAGGTGCACAACCAACGCCTCACGAAATGCACTTACAACAAGATGCAGACTTTTATCAAGATATGCTTTGTCTTCATACTGAAGATCAGATAGCCAGCCAAAAAGAATAGTCAACAGGAAACTCTGAAAACGAGCCTTAGAAAAACCGACATCTCAACAATTATTCAGAGTAAAATTGGCGTAGATCAGAAGTACGCTTATAAGACTTTTATTCGGCTGGTTTAATTCATTAGTTTGAATCAAGAAAGAACGGAAAAATTAGCATGAAAATATGAGCTGGTTTTATTTTCGTGGATTCCCTTCAACTGTGTACATCATATGTCGGCAATCCGAACTACTTCTCCTTCCTGAAAAGGAGCTACACAAATTACTACTTCCTTGTACAGAGAATGTTCAGTTCTGATTCAACAAACAGCTGAGTCGGAAAATAGATGGGGAGGCAATGGGTTTACTTGTGGGTCATGTTCTTGAGAATATATTCATGGCTGATTTTTGACAGAAACGAATGAAACCATAAATAGAGAGGACCACCTATTGCTGCAGGCATGTTGATGACACATTTGTGGTTTGCAACAATATGGACCATGCATCTACGATGCTCGAAAACCTTAAAGATACTCGCGCTGATATAACATTTAAATGGATCATTAACATGACAATCAGTCCCACTTCTTAGATGTCAACATAAAAAGAGTCGATTGCAAACTCCATCTACAGCAAAGAAGCCAGGATTAGCCAAAACTTGAATTATCCCAGTTTCTGCTAGATCGGTTACAAATGGAGCCTGATGAAAACACTTTTCAGAAAAGGTAGGGTGTTGTGTACGAAAGATAAGATCGAAGAGGAACTCTCAGTCATCGAAAATAACCTTATCGAAAATATCGAAAATACCCTCGGAAGTTGGTAATATAAAAATATGGGAAAGGAAAATCACTCAGACCGAAACCAGTAATAGTTGAAAAGAAACCAGTTTCTATCTGTCTTGCGCAGAGAGGCGAATAAGTATCCGTAAGCACGAAAACGGAATTAAAGATGCTTTGAAACGAACATCTCTCGCCGCTAGACTCATCTTACTTTACAATACAGTATGCTCAGTAACCCAATCAAAAGTAGATAAGTATCCTGCTCTGCATGTCAAATCCAACTGCATTCACCAGTTGACCTACACTTGCAGTAGCAAGTATATAGGAAAGACTGAAAGAAGAGAGTCCACTAGATTCTCCGAGGATATCCCTATAAGTTTCTGTTTCTCAAGCGCAATCGCCAGACACCTTAATGACATGGGACATGCATAAAAATTGGTCAAGCCTGCAAAATAATCAATACACAAAGAAAAGCATGGTTACTTCGATTTGTAGGAGCCATTGCCACCAAAATACTAAGACTCAACCTATCTACACAGAAACAGAGTGTACAATTGGTGGATGGTGACTAGCAGTGGAATCCAGGATGCGAATTTCGTCCTATTTGTGACCCGTCATCTGGATGTACCGGCATATCTCGGTGAGTGATGATGTTCCCACTGAGGCTCGAACCCACTGCCCATAGTTTCAAACTCCAAAGTGTTATCCACTAGACCACTTGGGTCACGAGAGCCACCTCTTGTGCAAGGGGTCACATTAATTATTTCATTCAATATCGATTTTCCCGTCGATTGATTGGACCGAAGTGCTCAGTCTCAGGTTGACACACACACATAGCTGAAGCTGTTGCAATAAGATCGACTGAACCGGAACTTTGTATTCAAAAAGAACATGTCCAGGCGCCGTTCCCACCGTGGCCAACCTTGGGTTGAAGATTTTTCTTCTCACCAAGAGTGCTCCTTCCCCTTAACCCTCTTGTTTTTTTTCTTTTTTTACTTTGCCTATTATTATAAATATTATTGTTACAGTTATTATTATTATTCGCCATAATTTATGCCCTTTATGCAAACATTCCCTCAATACTATCGAATTTTCATTTATACAGAATCATTATTAGTGATATTATCTCTTTTCTCAATATATGCCTCCACTTGTTTCATTTAACATATTCGTTATCTCACTATGATCCTCTCATTCCACTCTTACTATCTCCTGTTTAAGACAGATCACTTTGTTCTAGCCACTCACTCATCTGACACCTTCCATAACCTTGAACTGATTTGTCAACTTTTCTACCCCACACTCTACAATTCTATTATGATTAATCACCACCACTGGTCTCCGGTTTTACAATATTTCTAATCGATTTCAGCCTGGCACGTTTGTCACACGAATACGACTATTTATTTTGACACCCCATAGCTAATCTGTTATTCTAGGTTAAAAATATATCCGCCGCATAAATGGCCTTTATTGTAACGACCACAAATATTATATTTTATAACTGTATGAACCTGAAGACGAGAAATTATTGAAAAGAATATTCTTCGTTCAGATTGACTTTTAAAATTAACTCTGATTTTCCATCTTGTAAATTGTCATTAGTTCATTCTTGTTTTCAAGCGAAATTAGAACTTCACCCCTCTGTCTAATTATTATATGAACAGTTACCCTTTTAACACTAAATAATAATTGTCTACTTACATAATCTTTGAAAGTATATGGCTTATACTCTCTATGTGAAACTTGAAATCATTATAAAAAGTATGTTCAGAAATTTTGTAGTATATTGTAATTGATTTATTCAGGATGAACGCAGTGAAGAGAATCAGCGAAATAAAACACGGTCTTATCATCATTCTCTGTTTATTCAAGCTTTTGGGTGACAGTGTGCACAAAGCAGGCCACAGCTCGAATAGAACCTGAATGAAAACCGACGAACTGGGAATGGATCAGCGGGGGACATGGAGAAGATCGTTCGAGGAGGAGGGGGAGGAAATGAGGGCCCATAGGGATTTGTGGATCCAGCTGAAGAGGACAACAGAGGATACGACAAAGTGGATAATTGTTGTCGAATCTCAATGTACCAACTGGCTTCCAAGGGGACAATAATAAAAATACTGTGGAACTGTTATGACTATAAAAAGTTGGAGTTAATATCCAAGATTCGCAGTCATTTATTGGTTAATGGTATTGACTTGATCTTTGCCCAGTACTGAATATGAAATATTGTTGGGCTTTCCGAACACGTTTCGTCCTATTCAGTGACTCGTCATCAGTGAGTAGCTATGTCGACACCCTCAGTTTACGTCACATGAACAAGTTATCGTTCAGACATGATAGATCTGGATTCAGTAGGTTATGAATTCTAATTTCCGTCCGTATGTGAGATGGTGACCATGTCAACGTCATCAATGAGTATCGGCATTTAGCATATTGGTAATTATTCAAATGTTTCAACTAACTTTACAGTTATTATCTTCTTTTCCCCCGGGCTATATGTCAATGTTCTGATGTTCACGCATCACATATTGACTTAATCCTGATTGTTTGTCATTATTTTTTTATTTTGTTTAATTCCAAATGTAAATGATTCTCTTTGTGAATTTAAAATGAAAGCAAGAACAACAGTCATTTGTGCAGAATAACATGGTATCATCATTGTCAACAGGACCCACCCCCGATTTTCTTAACATGTACCGAAAATGCCTACGATTCAATGGAAGAAAACGCTTACAAGAGTGCCATTAACAGGCATTGCCTTGATACTGGCCATGAGCTGGAGATCATGAGATCTTTTAAAGTTATCGGTTGACGAAAACGTTCAATTCTTCTTAAGTTTGCTGAAGCAATTTTTATCAAATGCTTTGCCTGGTAACTGGATGCCTTTATATTGTCTCTCATTTGATTACGCAATCTTTGGCTTTAACCTCAGCTTCTTTGATATAGTTTAATTTTGCTTATCTCTTCCTTGCATGATTTGAGCTGAACTCAGTACATTGTTACCCAATTTATTAGTTAGTCATCACCTTATGCATCTCTCGTCCTGATGACGTAACTCCCTTACCATTGTATGCATGCATTTACTTTGTTTAAACTTGAACTTCCTGTTTGGAAACCGTATAAGCGTAATTTTCTGAACACTGTTCGTTAATTACGGAACCTCCTGTCAACTGACATCATGTGAAACTTGCAAATATGTTAAAATGTTTCTGTACATGAACTTTATGTCAATTTATTTAAGCTGTACGCAGCTGAGCTAATGATAATTCAATGAAATAAATGATGGTGGAATATTATTCTGCACAAACCACTGTTGTTCTTGCTGCATTCAAATTAATGAAGGGAAATAAATGTATGAAAAATCTATTCGTGGTGTGTGTGTGTGTTGACGTTGGTAATATGTTATTTTACAAATTTGATTTTATTTAAATGAGACCAAGGTTAGACGTGGGCAATTCAACCCTAGAATGTTTGAAGGGAATGTTTATTGCATGATTCTTGCTGACAGAGTTTTCATCACACCTTGTTGAGAATATTCTGAAAGATTCTCAGGTATGTCATACAGCGGATTTTGGTTAAATAATGTCTTTTGTGTGGCACTATTTATGCACGCAAGAACTATTATTATTGTAAAGTAGTACCATGGATTGTATTGCAAATAACTCCAGTTTTGTTGTTGTTGGGACACTTTAGGACTGTGTGTTACTTAGGGTGCGGGGATTGAGTAGCTACACAGTGGAACATGAAGATTGATTTGCAGCGTTCAGATCATAACATGTAGGTTTCTTTCACTGATAAAAGTAGACCTATTTTAATTATAATTATTATTGTTCCCTTGTGTTCCCAGTGGAACATTGGGCTTCAACTGCACGTCTCGACTTGCTTCTGTCTTTCTTCTGATGTACTTTTCACCTGCATCCATGTTAGTCCATGTTGTTTCAACTCCTCTGTCTTCACACGATCTCCTCCATATCAACCTTGCACCGACGACCCACTCGCCGCTTACCTTTCAGTCTAGTTCCACTCGAGCAATGGCCTGATGCGCGCGCGATGTCACCTAGCGGCGGCCTCCTCAGCGAGCGAGTTTCCAATCCATCTCTACTTTCTCCTACATATTTGTTGGTTGGCGATTGGTTCTTGTTTTGTTTGTTTGTTCCCATAGTGATTCTTGTTGGTGATTATTTCTGGCCTGGCCATCCGATCTTCAGTATAGAGCCAGCGAAAACAGTTGTTGATAAAGGTCTGCAACAGGCTGTTGAAAATATTTTTTGTGACCCACCCGCGAAGATTTTGATCCGTTCCGTATAGAAGAACTGACTGACTTGACGTTGTCTGTATTGAAAATTCGACTGAATTTTGTTGTTGATGCTGGCTGAGTGACGAAGATTTCCAGATTGGTTGTTTCAGGTTGATGAATGTGTTTCTCGCCTGCCTTCCCGATTCTCGATCTGACATCCTCATTCGTTCCTCCTCATGTAGTTGAGACAATGCCCCATAGATAAGATAAGTGAATGAAGTAACCCCTTTCAAATCCCTCCCGTTGATGGTGATCGGCTCTGTATGTTACCGCTGTTGTTGTTGTGGTTGGCTGGTTATTTTCATAACCTCCGTCTTGTCTATGTTCACTTGGAGTCCTGTCTTTGCTGCTTCTTCGACCAGTTTGTCGGTTTTCGCTTGTAAGTCTTCGATTTTGTGTGACATCAAACATATATAATCCACGAAATCCAAGACACATTTTCGGGCATCACTTATTTTCACATCTGACTGAAACTTCACTGCTGTAGTATTTCACAATTATTGTGATCCCTTTCTCACCTTTCACTAGTACACAATATTCTTGTATAGTATTTTAATAAAATAACAAATCACCTTAATAAAAACAAATAACTTTCCCACATCTGTTCTGTTTCCCTTTTTAGGTGATTGTGACTGTCAGCAAAAAATTTTTTCATTGTTTCAAGCATGTTTGATTAAAATTTATGTAGTGAATTTTAATTAAATGTGACGGGAAATATGAAACAACAACAACAATGGAAAGAAAACAAAACTTAAAACAAAATCTTGGCACATATGGATGTTGGGGGATATATATATATATATATACAAATAAGCAATAAACCTGCAAACAACCGACATACCAGCTATTTGTAATTTTCTCACGGCCAACTGGCTAAAGTTATCCAACACAACTGATATACAAATAGGTTCATCATGAAAATACAACTAGAATGAAATAGACGCATAAATAAAAAGAAATTTAGAAATTGTTAAAACGTTGAATAATATTTCATTAAAAAAAAACAACAGAAGATGTCAGACTATCGGATGTAGGTAAATGAAATACATCTACCAACAGAAAACTGATTCCCGATTTCGTGTATTTACAGAATAAATTAATTGGATTCCACTGCTAGCCACCATCCAACAGTTGTATACTAATTAAATACCCAGACATCGTCGAAGCATCTGCACAAGAAGCCGACATGTCAACCTGAGACTGAGCACTTCGGTCCAATCAATCGACGGGAAAATCAAAAAATTCAATTCAATAATTAATATGACCCGTTGCACAAGAGGTGGCTCTCGTGGCCCAAGTGGTCTAGTGGATAACGTTTTGGCGTTCGAAACTATGGGTACTGGGTTCGAGCCTCGGTGGGAACATCATCACTCACTGAGAAATGCAGGTACCTCCAGATGACGAGTCCCAAATAGGACGAAATGCGCATCTGGATTCCGCTGCTAGCCACCATCCACCAATTGTAGAATAAATTAACAATTCATGGATGGCAGATTTGGGAGAGTCTTCTCAGTTTGTTTTAAATGAGCCTCCTAAAATCATATTTAACTGACAAGTATGAGCAAATGTTATATATTCATTTTAGCGACAGGTGGCTGTAGTAAAGTTGAACGATTCAGTTTCATGCTTTTTGTGGTATCAACGGCACTCTGATGAAGAGTAAACTGGATTACTTCCTATTTTTGCAGCAGTTTCTCTATGAATCTGTCTATCTCTCAGTCATCTTATTTCTTGTTCATTCTCTAAAAAAGTCTTCCTTTTGACTTATTACATCAGTAATCTAGGACAATCTGGCCTAACTCAACGTCTTCTCTTGCAATTTATTAATTCATCTTTGATTAGACACTAGTAACTAGTGTAATGCGTGTGTCTAGTCCTTTCTTTGGTGCCCATTGAATTCTGTCAGTCATGTTTGCAATGTGGCCACCATTTTAGGTAACTTGCCATCACTGTGCACATTAGTTCTATGATATTAGATGATTGGACCAGACACATCACACTAGTTACTACTGTCCAATCAAAGTATCCACTGCAGTCCTACTGGAGGTCAATCGAGAGCCTGAATAGCTCTCTGACTGCAACACTGGGTAACATGGGCTCGAATCTCAGAAGAGAAACGAGTTCCTTCAAGGTTGCAGATACGCCTTGCTCACTGGTGAGCGCCAACTAGCATGAAACCTAGGTCCAAGACTTCCTGTGGATTTCCTTCAACCAACTAATATCATTTATTCATCTATCCTACCCATTCCAACTATTTGCTCCCGCTTATTCTTTCTTGGGCTTTTCAAGAAAGACTGCGTCACACTTTGTAGGACTTTGAAGTCTACAAGCAAGATTAGTACAAGTATGGAATTTTCAGCATGGATATCGGTAGCCCAAATTTTGCAGACCGACCATAGATATCAGGTGTGCGTCGGCGGAGGCTCGAACCTCGGACTATTTGCCTTCGATTCAACTGACTTACATTGTACTTGTGATACGCATTTTAGTTTTTGCAAGAAGTTGACTAAAGTTACCTTGTCTGAGAGTGAACATTCTTCTAATTATTCACGACTGTCTTCTTCTGGTATCTCTCTTTAGACAAAACAAGAAGAAATTTCATATGAGTTTTCCCTCGCATGACTGGCAAATATGCAAACTTTAAATATACCAGATTTAGCAAGGGTTTTGCGTTGAGAGATAAATGTCGGAAAGGAGCTTATAAACGTGTTAAATCAGTAACCAGACAGCAGATTACAACCAGTATTAATAGTACACATATTATTCATTTATTGTCCATTATATTCCACTAACTCTCAGTTTTTCTGGCTTTATTTTTTTACTATTATGTATATATATGTATGTATCAAAGTAGCCCAACTGTTACAGTACTTACAAACTCAAAGTGGGTGTGAGGAGAAATACTCGCCGAAGACATCAGCTAGCGGTCGCGCTATGCCGTGGATTACCAGAAGTTAGAATTCACTGACTGGCCATTTGATCGGGTCTCAATGCCTTAACGGTCTGCGAACTCGCTTTGTACCCGGAAAGTCCTCGGTCCGAGCCCTGGCAGTTGGTGCCTACTGGTGAAGAGCCCCAAACTAGGATGAAACAGCTGTTCAGTACTCCCTGCAGGTTTTCCAATAGTTCTCTAACCGATATCAGCTCACGATGAAATCCTATAAACAATCAGTCAAATCTCTACAAACCAATACTTAAATATCCATTTGTATAATTATTACAGTTTGGAATAGAGTGACTATAGTATTAAATATTCTTATACGGTGCTATACTGGTATTTTTGCAGGTCTGTATGAAAATACCCACAAACAGCTGACCGGTCGAAACTAATTCATTGGAGAAAGTATTGCAAATGTCATAAAAGACTTTTTAATTTAAATTCTCCGAAGACAGAAGCGATCGCTAATCCCTATCAACGGAATAAATTTGAAGGACGTGACTCATTGTATCATCTACAGGCCACATGAACGATGATGTCAAAGGTAGAATCGGAAAGGTAAGACTGACATTCATCTCCTTGAGATCAGTGTAGGAATCTTCTCCAGTCAGCAGGAACAATGAAATTCCCGTTTTCAACAGCAATGTTAAGTCAGTCTTCCAATATGGTTCAGGAACTTGGCGCTTTACGAAAAGCTTTTCAGACACTGTTACAGACTCTTATCAACAGCCGCCTTCTCCCCATGCTGAATGTCAGATAGTTGACCAGAAAAGATTATCAGCCAAAAACTCTACGAATGAACAATTCAAGAAGTTGTCATTTTTACAAATACGCCGAAAATAATGGAATAGGCTAGACAAATCGTAAGGGGGCTGTCGATTGACATCGATCCACGAGTGAGACCCGTTTGAAAAACGACGAGCTGTGCATGGATCATAGCGTGAGATTTGGGTTTATGGACGGCAGTGGGGCCAGCTAAGGAGGGTTAAAGAGAAAGGGACGAAAATAGAGAAGAGCTCTTGCAGCCTTATGTATCAATCGGAACCTAAGGGAATAATAATAAATATAGTAATCCGTAACTACTAGCTCAAGCAATATGCATCTGTGACAGGGCGGACACAAAAACGTGGGCTAATGACTTATTAGCGATGCTGCTTTTTATAAGCCAACTTTCATTTTCACCATGACTTGTTATCTGGATTGGCGAAATGACCATAAACACTTTCATTTGAACACAAAAAATCAAGCATACACCTGTGCGTCGGTGGCACAGTGGTTAGAACTCACGCCGCCCATGCACATGGTCCGAGGTTCGATCCACCACCGACGCAAACCTGATATCTATGATCGGCCTGAGAAATTTGGGCTACCGATATCCATGCTGAAATTTCTATGCCTGCACCAAAAATACGATGTGGAATCAAGCTGTAATCAAAAATAAAAAAAAAATAAAATACTGTCAACTTCCTACTCATTGTGACCTGGTTTCCAGAATAAGCTTGCTGGTGTCATTTATCTGACACCTTACTTGTCAGAAATAATAAACCAGATGACAATATAAACAAAATCTAGCAGTTAATATATCAATTGAAAAATTAAATAAGATCGCAAACTTTTCAGATTTTGATAAAAGAGCCTTATATAAATTCAGGGGATGAGAATTTGTTACAGGACTTCCTCATGAGCTGACATTAGTTAGAGAACCATTGGAAAACCTGAGAGTACTAGACAGCTGTTTCGTTAGCCTAGTTTGGGACTCTTCAGCAGTACCCACCAACACTACGGGGTTCAAAGCCAGGACCTTCTGCTCACAACACGAGCTCGTATACCATTAAGTCACTGGGACCCGATCCAATGGCCCAAGAATTATAACTTCTGCCAACTCACGACATAGCGCCACCCCTAGCTAATGTCTTCGGCGAGTATTTGTCCTCACACTTTTTACCTGCTGCACCCTACTGGTCATGACTTCCCACTGGAATCCCAGGTAACAACCTACCTGAATAGGTTCTGGGTTCGAATCCTGGTAGGTGCGTAATGATGAAGAGTCCCAAGCAAGGACGAAAAAGCTGTCCAGTACGCTCAGGTTTTCCAGTGGTTCTCTAATTGTTATCAGCTCATGATGAAGTCCTGTAGCCAGTCAAATCTCTACAAACCAACACTTGAATATCAATGAGATGCTCACTAGTGACTTGCCCTATTCACTTAGGTTTTTACCTGGGATTCCAGTGGGAAGTCATGACCAGTAGGGTGCAGCAGGTCAAGTGTGAGGATAAATACTCGCCGAAGGCATTAGCTAGGGGTGGCGCTATGTCGTGAGTTGGCAGAAGTTATAATTCTTGGGCCATTGGATCGGGTCCCAGTGACTTAATGGTATACGAGCTCGCGTTGCGAGCAGAAGGTCGTAGCTTTGAACTCCGTGGTGTTGGTGGGTACCGATGAAGAGTTCCAAACTAGGACGAAACAGCTGTCTAGTACTCTCAGGTTTTCCAATGGTTCTCCAACTAATGTCAGCTCATGATGAAATCCTGTAGCCAATCAAATCCTTACAAACCAACACTCTATTATTAATGAGGTCTTTTCATTCAGATATGAGATAAGAATACCCTTGTATGAATAACTGGAAGTATTAGTAGTAAGTAAAATGGCATATAAACAGAAGGATTAAACGAAGGAATATTTACTTTTCAGTTAGATGCTCATCTGTGCCTTTAACATTTTCAATACAATACAGAGAATACACCAGTCTACTGATGATAAGTTTGTCAATAATAACTTTCGCTAATCAGACTGAAAAGTCTTAGAAACAACTGGCTGAGTGATTAAAAAGGCTTTAAAAACTAAGGTTTCATATCACGAGGTTTATAGTGAATTACTGTAGACTACGGATACGTCACACTTAGCCCACTGGTAGATATATCTCACCACACGTATCACTCAGAAGCTAATTGGTTACTGAAAATCCTACAACATACGTGTGATGAACTA